CAATTTAATGATAACAATATTAGATTTTGATTCATATCAAAAGTGACTTTCAACAGGTGCATTTAGATTTGTGAAATGCAACCTGTGTAAGGGTAAGTTATCTTATAAAAGGTAAATGGTATTCTATATAAGTTGCCCTAGTCATTCCAAAGTTCCAGGTGTTATTTTGTGGAGCCCATGTCTTGCCACATCACACGTGGAAATGACATGCAAAAAGTAAAATCTTGGACATCTTTCTTTCGGTCCATGGACTCTAAAATAACAAGAATTTGCATTGTCGGGAGCGTAAAATTGGTTGTATTGAATGTCGCCTCTTGTATTTTTCACCTGCCTCATGTACACAATGTTACTGAAACCACTGACTATAACTACTGTCTATCAAACTCCTAGGACCAGCACAATCATTTTGCTAAACGTATGACAACATGTTATGTTCTAGTTTCTTATCTTCTGGCTTTGTTATGCTATGTTTTAAAATTCGGAATACTGAATGTATACTCTAAGGATATCAAGCCAATGTTAATTGAATGATGTCGAACAGTTATACCCGATAGAATTAATTATTTGTAATTTTGTATTTTTATTTTATATAAAGGCCTACTATTCATATTTTCAACATTCTTTGTCAAAATAAAGATTTACTTTGTGACTGCATAGTGTATCCAATGGATTGATAAGTAATGTATCTAGTATTGGACACCAAAAACAGTTGAAAATGGGCCACATCAAAGCTTACAATAATTTATCAAAAATATATTTTCGATCTGTCAAGTTTCATACATCGTCTGTTGTATATCAAGTTTTTGCCAATGAAATATTGCGCAGTTGTTTGCATAGAAGTATCGCCGTCCTTTAAAATCAGGAGTTGCTACCAAGTGAGTCATTATACAACCTATTTATTCCGAATAAATAATTTACAATAAAACGTTGATTGTCATGGAGAGCTGAGTTGTAAAAAAATCAATTTTAGCTGTTGCAGCTGTTGAAATGTCTATTGGACTGATTTTGATTTTTTCTATAAGAATGGCCGTAAAATATACCGTAAGTATTTGGAAATCTACCGTATTTCTGCTGAAATTAACAGTATTCTTGTTCAAACTACCGTAAAATCTACCGTTATTATTTGGACATTTTGAAAAATTGAAGTCTTCCAATTCCTGCATTGCCCTTGTAATATTCCACTACCAACCCGAAAATAAATGGGTGTCGGCAGGTCTGTGACAGTGGTTATTGCGCACTTAGTAATTAACTTAAAGTAAACTGGCTTGAAATCAGTCAACACACTAGGGAGTATCGTGATGAAAAAACACAGTGTTCAACTACCACATGTTCTACCACTGTAGTTATAAAAACACTGAAGCGTTTAAATAGTTAGTCTGTTTATGAAAGAGTTATATGAATGCTGTGTTAGAAAAACTTTTTTTTTTCAAAATGTTCCGCAAAAACTACCGTATTTTTTGATCTACCGTAAAACTACCAGTATTTTTCAAAAAACTTCCGCATTTTTTCAAAATCTACCGTTAAACTACCGCATTTTCAAAATCTTCTACAAAACTACAATTTTTCAAAAATCCACCGCAAAAACGACAGTGTTTTTTCAAAATCTACTGGAAAACTACCGCATTTTACAAAATCTACTGCAAAACTACAGTTTTTCAAAAATCTACCACAAAACTACTGCATTTTTCAAAACCTACCGTAAGACTACCGCATTTTTCAAGAACTTCCGAAAAGTACAGTTTTTCAAAAATGTCCCGCAAAATCTACCGATTTTTTTCACAATCTACCATAAAATTACCGTATTTTTGGCAAAAAACACCGCAAAAACTACCGCATTTAGAGAAAAATCTACCGCAAAAATACCGCAATTCAAAAAAATACCGCAAATTTTCGGTCTTAGGTTGGCAGGTATGCATTTACCAACCAATTGGCTTTAACACATGCCATATTCAAAACAAAAATTTAATTGATACAAAATGTTCAAATTCTCCCAAATAATAAATATTCAGGTTCAAAGAAAAATGAAAATATTATTGTAGAAAAGTTCAGTCCTCTGCGAATGTCTCCCTGCGTTACAGGCCTAGTGCTCGTGAGTTAAATCTGCGCTGAAATGATTAATAATATACCAGTTTTGAACTCACCCCTCAAATCAAAACCCTCGATACAGTGCTTATTAATAACTGGTGTACCTATTAGGCGTTCTGTCTGAACCATATAACGGGTTGCAGGATGAAGATGTGTCAAAATTATTTTGCTTTTACCCAATCTTGGTAGAAAATAATACTTTGAACAACATTTTTATTCGATTTTAACGTTATTTATTAACACCTAAATGGTTAGGCTATACACCAACTGTTTAGAATGGTCATAGGAGAGAGTATTATGTATCATTGGAAAGCTTAGATTAGAGCTTATATACAGGTTGGGCCAAAAAAAACAATACCCAACTTCAAATCTGAATAAAAATAGTTACATTCAATATGGCACTTTGACTTACATATCATTTTAAAGGTTATACAATTTCAAACAATTTGGTATATAACACTGTCATGAAATCAATAGTAAAGTTTTATTATACTTCTTCAAGCGGTAGCGCAATCTATCAATAGCCTTATTGAGAGATTTCTGTTACAATTCATTTCAGTACTTTAGGATTCTGTTTCAGCTCATCAATGCTGTTTATTGGATGGTTTTGATTGTACCATTTCCGCGAGATGGCTCCATGTACGGTAATCAAACACATTAGCATCGGGGTTGTTGGGTGGCCAAGCATCGAGATCAATCAAATTGACACCTTGTTTGCAAAGAAATGCCAATGTCTCCTTTGATCTATGGTACGAGGCAATGTCTTGATGGAAAATAATATCCTCGTCACATATACGTTTAATGTCTTTTAACATACCCCCTTTGAGTACTTATTGATAATAAACAACACTGAAATTCATTAACAATAAGTTTAGTCACACAATATGCAAATATACAAGCATGTACTCACCTAACAAAATGATATTCTATAAATAAAAAAGTAACATTATTCCGCAGATTTACTATTTTCTCCCTAAAATCTGGATACCTCAAATACCGACCCGGTCTCCCAAATAAGCATAATAAAACTTCAATATTGATTTCATGACATAGTGTTATATACAAAATTGTTCGAAAATGAATTACCTTTAAAATAATATATAAATCAATGTATCATATTGAACGTAGCTATTTTCATTCTGATTTAAAGTTGGGTATTGTTTTTTTGGCCCACCCTGTATATAACCATATCGACCTGTTTTTATTGTTAATGAAGTAATTCATTGAATGAGAACAAAGGGGTTTATCGTTTCGGGTCAAAACTATACTGACAATTTGGGTATTTCAGTAACTTTGACCAGCTACAACTTTCCTTCTAACGGTAAGAGCTATATGTTTACACAAATAAACTAAAAGTGCGTTTGTTCAAGAACCCATAAGCAATAAGGAAGACGTTTCAAGTTTTGTCGAAAATTCGGTTATTTTTGTTTTTTAGCCAATCCTGTATGAGTATTTCTTTACAGCAATTTGGGAAAAAATACTCATCAGCAAAGCGCCGGTGTAAGAGGGTAGGAGGTCCTATCAAATTATGGTCCTACTTTCCATTGATTTATGTGGTGACCTCTTTCCCTTATTATCCATACACAATCAGGACCAGTAAGGGCCGTTAAGAAGGGGGGGGGGGGGTATAATCCCCGGGACCCATAATTTCTTTCACACCGGTACTGAAAATCGGAGTAAATATGACCACGACGCAGGCTCTACTGATATTTCTTTAAGATTTATTATCATTACCGATTTCATGGAGTAGATATAAAGATATTTATATGAGTACCTGTGCAAGATCGTCCTTTCTTGATGAGCTTTGATAATTCTTCTTTATCCAGTCGCAGACGAGATAAAGAAACATTTTCAAAGCGAGTCAAGAATGGACGATTTTGCACAGGTACGAGTACAAGAAAGTTTTTCTCATATGACTCTGTATTATGCTTTATTTTCACGTTTTCATGACAAAACTGGGTAGAAACAAGCTTCAGATTAATGGAACTTCATCTTTCAATTGTTATGACGTCATAACAATATTGTAGAAAATACATAGATACGCGTGGCAACAAAGCTCCATCGTTATGACGTCACATCTTAGTTTTGTAAAATGAACATGGATAATCTTAGCAACGGTGTATTTGTTGCTATGTTGTTAATGTTTATAAACCAGTGATGTCACAAGTAAATCTCATCTTACACGTGTGACTTTTTAGGATGAAAGATGGCAATATCTTGCATGGGGTAAAGATGACTGTATCTTGGTTAGTCATATGAGAAAAATAGATAAAACGTCCACATTTCCAGTTTAAAAGTGGCCAAGCCTCAAAAGGGAAAGCATATTTTTATACGATCCCTCAAAGTGCAAACGTTAGTTCTTCTAGTCTTAATATTTATTCTGTTGGTAGCGCAGAAGGTAAGATACACGATGTTTCGATTTGTCTTCAACATAAGCCTGGTATTGGGGATAATAATTTTTTTATTTGTTCTTTCACAATATCAGAACTACGGCCACCAACATGGTGCAAACCAACGTACAAACGGCAATCCAAAGGGCTCGAGAAATAATACAGGAGAACGAAATACGCCGTTTTCGCGTTATACGAATTCGAAGGTGTGTCGCTATGCTTTGAGAGAAAAAAGGGAAATTCAACAACAAATATGTAAGTTAGTTAAACTAGATTTTTCATGCAATGATACAAAAAGATCTTGCCGAGGGCGATGTGGTGATAGAGTAACAATGGAAAATGCGACGAGCTTTTACTGCCACTGTGATGGGTTATGTACACATTATGGTGACTGTTGCAAAGATTATAGACAACATTGCCTCGGTTGTAACGCTACATATACTGAACGAGATATCGAGACAAACCAGACCTTTATTGATGTCGATGATGAAAGCTGCGCCTCTCTTTCTGTTCATGAAACGCAACGCTCAGACTACCAATGTACGCGAGTTCAAGGAGTCGTGAAGGTGTACTTAAAAGCCAGTTGTCACGCGGACTTTAAGGGTTCTGCATTGGAGAAAAAGTGCTTCGGTGAGGATGAGCCATTTTCAAATATTCCCTGCTACGATGGCATTAAAGGTATACATTACAAGAACAAATATTGCGCCGAGTGTGACTTCGTTCAAGCACCAAAGTTTTGGAGACCAAGAATCGAATGCATTAATGGTAATATTAATTTGGACAATTTACATGTCGGGAGCTTGAATATCCCTCGAATCATGGAACTGATTCGGGATTTGAGATATCTTGGTAGGGGGTGTAGATACGACTATGACTATTTGGAACCCTTGTCGGACACATACGATCGCGAAAACATTCGAGGGTCATTGCGTCCTTGCATTGGCACAATTTCCGAGTGTGAATTTTGTAAAGGCACAGGTCTGGATTCATTTTGTCATAATCATGGTTTAGATCCAATTCAAGATAACAATGTTTTTCACAATGTTCACTGTTGGAAATGTAATCCGCATTTATATCGAATGACGGAAGACAAACCTAACCCTGAGTTTTGTCGATTGATCGAATTCACTGACAGGACGTGGTCTTTACCCGACAATTTAGAAACAGTATCATTTCAAATATTAATGGACGTCACGGGAGACTCTATAAACGTGAGAACTGTTCCGAATGAAAAACATACGAGGATTGCTGAAGTTGAACTTGTTTGTTCTGAGGACCTGGATCGATGCCGATTGAATCGATGTCTAGGCAATTTGATACTAGTTGGAGATAAATGTATCATACGTGATATTATTGTGAAAGTAGCGATCAGTTGTAAAGTAAAATGGATAGATTCAAACGTAATCTCCGCTTACATCACTTCACAGATGCTATTCGAAGTTTTTCCACCACTTCGCATTGTTTTAGATCATATGACCAGCAACATGAATGGCACGTGGGAGACCAACACGTACAAGTTCGATGTTTTATTTCCAGACAAACCAAATGTTTTGGAAACAATCAACGAAACAATGGCGTACAACATTGGTCAATTGGAAGAGAAATTGAACAATTTTATACTTTCGCATAATATATCTAATTCCGCCATCCTAACTGGTATTGAGTACACCGTCATCAAACAACCGGAGATGACAAATGTGACGATGACCAAGAGAAGTTCAACAGCGACAGTTAACTCAGTAACAGTGCGTACACCATCAGCACACGGCTCAGCTGAAACAGCACCAAGCAAATTGATATTGCCGATGTTAATGTCATTCTTGATCCTCAGAATAGTTTCTTACATATGGAAGAATATGTCTTGAGATTGTAATATTTAGATCGAGTAATTAGGATTTGAAATGTTTTAAATCACTGGAGTGTGTGTTTAATACGGATTTGGCTAGGTCTGTGGCTACACATCTAGACTGTAGTGTTAAAGAATCTTCGAACGATGTTTAGTTTGCTATGACTTCAAAAGTTTACCCCGTACACCCATGACAATGGTTACCATAGTGACCATAACTTTTTTAAACTCAATTGAATATCAAAAAATTTGAATAGAAGGTCAAATATATGTTGTTCAATATTTTGTTCAAAATTGTATACAGTTTTGACGAGAATACTCAATCGGCCGGGCGCCGGCCGATGAATCGGAGCAAATGTGACCAAGGCATTAGTTGTAGAATAAAGATTGAACTGCTAAAAGATCTTAAATTGTCCGACTGTGTAATATATTTAATCCCTGCATTTTGAACAACATCTAGCATATTTGTATTCTTGAAAGTCTAATCTTATTGAAATTTGAACAACTAATATGCAATTATTGATTGATAGGATGCTTCTGTAATATACAGATTCATCAACCTTGTTTAATTTAGCGATAACATTTTAATAATGCTCGAATTTTGAGAATGATATAATGGGTTGGAGTTGCACATACGCTAGGGGTCCAAATGAACATATAAATAGATATATAGAATTATTTCGAAGTAACAAATCCACACTGATAATAGACTCACATATATTATGCATATAGAGGTTATTTACTATAGTTGGGATTAAATACGGGTTTTATTCCGAGGCCCAATATGCTATTTCCAGAGGACCCGTCATTGCAGGGTACTCGCATATTTTTCAGATTTCTATGACGTTGACTGTCCGTGTCAGAGCATGATGATGAAATTACAGTTTGCCAAAATGTTTAATAGATTTACAATCTTCATACGCCCTACGTTTCAAAATCTCTATTTTCAATTCTGTTTGGAAAATATCGTCTTTTACATAAGATAAAGTACTCCAGATTTTTAAAGAGGATGATCTTTTTAATATGATTTTAAAGGCCAAGGCAATTTATTTTATGTACAAAAAACGCAACCTGTTTATGTAAATATGTTTGGAAAAAAATATTGAAAATTGTAATGTACTCACATAGAAATAACGTGGTAATAAAGGATACAATACAATACAATAAAATAAGAACACCATTATGACACGCTATATCGACCAAACTGAACCTGGTAGCTAGGAAGCTTTGTTTAGAAAAAATGCCTGGGAAGTGAATATCAATTTCATCATGAGCGGGATTGGGAGGTGATAACGATTTTCATGAGCTGGATAGGGCAGGACAATACGATTTTTTTTCAATATCAAAAATACTCCCGGGTGTTAATCTCAAGGCAGTATTAGTATCATTGAGTAAGTGTAATATATATATATGTTTACTTGGATCCTTTATATATAGACAATTTCAGTACATACATAAAATTATAAAAATATAATATTATTATTTCTCTAAGCGATAATCGGGATGTCTCGTTAACAAATCAGGAGTTTTGAACACAAAATCGGGATATTTTATGAAAAAAATCAGGATAATTTCCGAAAAATTTGAATATTTTCTTAAAATCTCGATATTTTACAAAAATGGGGATATTTCTTTCAAGTCGGGATAAAAATCGGGATTTTGAAAAATAAATGGGGATGAGCAAATAAAAATCGGGATTAAAACACAGTGTAAAAACCTTTGAAATGAGAGCAATTTTCCGTGAACTTATACAGAGTGTCTCAAAAAAAATGTTACACTCACAAAAAGTTCAATATCTTTCATAATTTTGACTTTACCCTAAAATATACTTTGGATAACAAAAGACAAATCTTTCTCGAATAATTTGACACCATCAAATTCAAAATCTGTCATTGATTGGCTCCACATGACAGCTTTTAGTGTCCCATGGTAAAATCTGACTTGCGCCAACTTCTAAGTGATTGGATTGACCAAATGACAAAAGAGGAACAGTTTCTTTAATATTTAACTTTCTTCTGAGTAGAAGCTTGACCTTAAACCGAGTCATTATGTAATTTTCCTATTTGTCTTACATATGATCATTGGGTATAAGACATAAACATGTGGTCCCCTCAACATGTTCTCCAAATTAAACTTGAGGTACCCTTGCCCATGCGCGCATGAATTGTAATATCACTCTGATTCTATCAATTATTTTTGCAGAAGTTCATTTAGGACAGTTTGTAATGCTGTAAACTGCTTTCAGAGGCCCTTAAAAAACTCAAGGGTGTAAAGTGGGATGACCCTGGGGGCCAATCCATTGGGTAATTCAATCCTATCTTCTAATTTCCAAAGAGTTCTACCAAAAGATCTGCCACAGGCCTTTGCACCATCCTGTTGCCATCATAACAAAATTGAACACTCTGACAATGAAATGTTGTATTTCTATCCAGGAAAGAAAGAACTGGATCATTGATCAAATCAAGATATCACTGTCCACAGCATTCACACCAAAAAGAATTGATCACCACATGTCCAGCCACTGAGAAGTTGGCGCAAATCAGATTTCACATGCGTCTATAAAATATGTCCTGTGCAGCCAATCTTGGACGGATTTTGAATCTGATGGTGTGAATTTATTCGAGAAAGACTGGTCTTATGGTATCTAAGTATATTTTAGGGGAAAAGTCAAAATCATGAAAGATATTGAACTTTTTGTAAGTGTAACATTTTTTGAGACACACTGTAGAACGATCTAGAATATAATATACACGCCAGGAACCAATCTTAAAGACGTTACATCCTTAGATTAAGTTTTATCATCAATATACCATCAATTAGAATGTGATGAAGATTGCAATCAAGGATAGACGACCTGTTGCTATGATGTGTGTACATCAATTGCTACCATATACCATCACCGACCATTGTCATCTATTGTCATCACCGGTCGTCGTCGTCTTAACAGTTATCATCCTCTTTAATCAACGATCATCATCAACCTATCTTAAACATCTGTAAAAAAAATTCTCAAACTGAACTTTTTATTTTTACAATTTCTAATAATTTTAATATAAATTGAATACTGTAAGATCGAATTTTAATTAATTAATTTCTAAAAACAAGACTGAATTAATTAATTAATATGAGACTTTAATCTACAAATAGCTTTCGTATTTTGTAATGTCATAGTAACTTTGTATAGTGATTAAATGTTGAAACCATCGAAAGCTGAGATATAAAAAAGTTCAATTCAAAGTATGATTCTCTTTATCTCTTGGAAAGGAATTTTATTCAATCGAACGTTATTCGAGATAGATATAGAGAAGCCGCATATTCGTTTTTCTGTTCGTATGACGCTATTTTGCCGCCAGAACCTCGCGAATGATCCCGAGAATAATTCACGTGGCTATTTTTATAACCGCAACTCATTTAAACTAAAAGGGAACCGTCGCCCGATGATACCCAACCAATGGGTAGCATATTGTAGCATTTCGTTACCATGGTTACGCATCTTTAGACATCTTACCTTGGAATCTTAAATCGTTTGTAGCGTTGTCATTATTAGGTCTATATACTATAGTAGAGGATATTAGTATCAAATAAAACCTAATTATATAAATGTCCTAAATAGTAACGATATTTAATTGTGCAAATTAAATAATATGCTTAAATTGTGACAGCATCAATCAATTTTTAATTCAGAATTTTCAAGTATAGCAACGTGTCTATTAGAACTGAGGTCGAATGGCAGAATTTCTGCAAAGTTTTGTCCTCTAGTGTATGAGAATAAGGTATAAGCAACATAAAAATGAAAACATATTCAGAATTGGATCAGCAATTATTAAACTTTCGAGGCAGCTACCGTGAATGTTATTTGAAAATTATATTCTGACATCTTACCCTGGAAGTAGAATGTTTGTAGCTTTGTCATTATTTGATCTATAGAAATGCTATCGGCCTGTATGCCTTCATATTCAATTATGCAAATTAGCTAATTTGCATAAATTGTGACGTCATCAATCTATTTTTGTTCAGAACATC